CTCAAATAAAATTATTTCTCCAAACAATATTCAATTTTAAATGAATTACGGAGAGTTATTATTTTTAGCAAGGAATCTCTGAAAGGACCCAAATTACTAATTTTATAAATGTCTTCAGGATATAGTGCATACTTAAAAGTTACATTAATGTTAAGTGGGCATTAAAAACAAATGAGTTGAATTAAACTGCTTCAAGCCAATTTTCAAAGGAGATATGCAATAGCTTTTTGCAGCCCTGCAAGATACGATTAAAACTGGTGATGGAGGGCTGGAGAGATGGCTCAGAGGTTAAGAGCACTGACTGTTCTTCCAGAGGTCCTGAGTTCAATTCCCAGCAACCACATGGTGGCTCACAACCATTTGTAATGAGATCTGGTGCCCTCTTCTGGCCTGCAGTCATGATGCTGTATACATAATAAATAAATAAATCTTTAAAAAAAAAAAAACTGGTGATGGAGGTAAGCGTGGTGGTACACGCCTGTCATCACTTGGGAAGCTGAAGAAGGAAAATCAGAAGTCAAATATCATCCTTGGCTACAGAGCAAGTTTGTACATAGCAAGTTTGAAACTAGTCTGGGCTACGTGAGACCCTGTCTCAAAAGTAAAGAAAAATAAAAAGCCTGTGGCTGGGAGGTCAGAGGCCCTGGAGGGAACCTATAACTGTAGTGTTGAATATGTGTTTTCACACTGCCATCTAAATATCTACATTTACACCCACATATCAGTGTTGCTCTCAGCCTTGGTAGAGGTTCTTTTTGCAACACATAGTGGTTAATACTCATCTCTATATATTTCTATATCAAACCCTCCAAGGACCTTGGAGTACCCCCTGAAAAATGAAGGTAGAAAAAATGTAAAAGCCAGAGAATAGGAAGGAATGCTGTAAAATGCTGCCTTCTAGACATGACAATCTGTACTCATAAAATCACAGAAGTTATGGGGACCTGCAACAGACATACACAAGATGGGCCCAGTGTTCCATCATGAATGGGATCCATATCATTGTACATATTTATTACTATACTCTATTTTTGTCCCTAACCACCCTGTCCACCTCCTAACTACTTTCTATCGACCTCCAAATAGTTTCTTCTGGTTTTATATTGCACATACATATTGCAACTTCTCTCTTTTTGCCCTACCCCTTCAGTGAGACCTCAACTGTAGACAAAGTTCAACACCCTTTGTGATAAGAACCATGAAGAAACTACGAATACAGGGCACATACCTCAGCACAACGAAAGCATTATGTATGGGAAATCTAGAGTCTTCACTATTCTAAATGGGGAAAAACCAGAAGTGATGAGATATAAGGGTCTCCACTCTCTCATTCAGTCTAGAACTGAAAGCCTGAGCTAGAAAAACAACACAAGAGAAAAAAATAAAGGGGACACAAATTCGGGAGAGGAGAGACTTAAAAGACCCTGTAGACGCCATTAGAAAATTAGAAAATTCTTAGATCTGATCAATATCTTTAACAAAATAGCAGACACAAAAATCAATATATATAATTAGCTTTTCATATGCCAATAACAAATATGCCAAGAAAGGAATCAACAAGACAATCTCACTCACAATAGCTTAAAAAAAAAAAAAAACCTAGAAATAACCTAAGGAGGTGAAAGACCTTTACACTGAAATCTTGAAGACACTGAAGGAGGAAACTGAGGAACATCCTGGGTGATGGGAGATGATCCGGGTGCTCATGGGCCAGTAGAATTAAAGATGTGAATGAAAATGGCTTCATGACCAAAATAGTCTACAGATCCCACAAAATCCTTATCATATCGCCAATGGAATTCTTCACAAAACTAACAAAGACAACCCTAACATTCATAGTGGAAGCGTCTACATTTTCTACTTTGTTCATGAGAAAGAAAAGAGGAAGGGGGTCGGAAGTAAGGGGGAGTGAAGGAGAAGGAGAAGAAAAGGGGGAACAGAAGAGAAGGGGGATAAAGGGAAGGCAAAGTAGCAAAAGAGGAAAGAAATTAATGAAGAAGTAAGGGAAGCAGGAGAATACACGGTGACTATTGCTGCACAAGTCAATCAGGCAAAGGGACAGAAGCTAAACCAGGAGCATACATAATGTAATCCAAGTATGACGGCAATTTCTGCAATTGCAAAGATCAAACGGTATAACTCCAAAGATGCATTATAACTTCCAAGTTGGAATAATTAAAAAAATAAGTCTTGAGTGTGAGTATACAGGGAACTTATGAGGGACATGGGAGTGGGCCAATTAGAAATCAAACAGCGAAGAAGCAGGCCATTCTGCTACGGATGAGCCCTGAGCACAGCATCCATGTGTGTCAGAGGCTACTCGGGCTTCAGAACTGTTAGGGAAAACTGAACACGAAGCAAAGACAAAAGCAGTTACTATGGCAACAGACTCCACTATCCAGATACCAGCAAACTGTGGTTCACTAATCTACCACAGAATGTTGGGATTTTCATGAAGGCAGTTGTCTAACTCAAACAATTAGTCTTTATTACAACACTGAGGCCTTCTAATGTTTTCTTTAATGATGAGAAAAATATTCTAATTGTTTATTCCCATGAGGAAGAGATGGATGTCATAATTGTGTTTGTATAAAAATTGCTTTGATAAAATGCTACTGGATGGCATTTCAGTCACCAATGAAACAAGATAACATGAAGGAGCTGAAACATCCCCATCCCCGGTGGAAAGGGTAACTGGAGAAGAGTTGAGAGAAATCAAGAACCTCCATGAAAACTCACAGTAGATGGTTTAGTAGAAACTTAGCAGATTTCAATTCATTCCCTAAAACACTGGAAATCATGGACCCTGATACTGAAAGAATTCTACTCAGAGATGAGAATGTTCATCCTAAATTATCTGCTTATCAGCAAATCTATGGTAACAAAACCAAAACCAAAGTGAGCAAATCACCATGGGCATGCTTCCAAAGAAAGACCTCAACAAGTCTAGGCTCTTCCAGAAGTATTCCAGGGTCCAGCATTATTCTCAGGAGCCAACAACACCCTATGTTGTGGCTCTGCAGACCATCCAGTAGGTCAAGTTCAGTAAACAGAAGGTACTGATAGTGATATACTTAATGGGAGTGTCTTCTTTATTAACAAAATAATTTATGAAGGTCAAAAAAAAATTCGTTAAGCAGAGTGGGGGTGCATGCCTTTAATCCCAGCATTCAGGAGGCACAGGCAAGTGGATCTCTATGAGTTCAAGGCCAGCCCGGTCCACAGAACAAATTCCAGGACAGCCAGGGCTACACAAAGAGAAACCCTGTCTCAAAAAACAAAACAAAGCAAAACAAAATGGGTGTGGTTTAGGCTGCTATTATAAAGGTCAAATATTAAAAAATAATAATGTACAAAATAAAAAGTTACAAGTTAAATATAATAAATTATAAAATTAGAAATATTTTAAAATTAAACTTAGCAGTGCATAAGTGTGCTGTGTTTAAAAACAAAACAAAACTCTACAGTAGCACACAGTAGTCAGGCTTCAAATCACTCACCTCTCCTTTGCCAGATCAATTCCAGTCCAGCAAATTTATCCACAGAAAGTGCTCTTCTCACATGGACCACTTCCATTTTTTATGCTGTGTTTTTATATATTTAGACAAACACATGCCTTTCTTTGTGTTACACTTGCATTCAGCACAGTGACCTCCTAGATATATCTAGGTCTACTGACAGATACTTAATGCCCTTCATTCATCTGAAGAATAGTCCTTCTGCAATTTAGATCTGGTTCCTGTCCTCACTGTCCTTTATCAGCAAAGCTGAGGAAAAGTTCTCTTGTAATATTAATAGAATCACAAAAGCCTAAGGCTGTCATAGCTGTCTCCTTTAATTCAACAGCTGAATGAGACAGAGGAAAGAGCTACTGAGAAACGTACTCCAAATGCCAGACACGCACTGGCAGGAGCAGATATAGTTCTAGTCTAGGAATAGCAGACTCTGCCACACAGCCAAGGTCTGTGGTAGGCTACACTCTCCCCAGGCTTACACTGAACACCGAGGCTGAAATTACCCCATGATGCAGTTCACGAGTAGCATCTTGTTTCTGGAAGACCCGTGACTGTGTTCCGAAATGCTCACACTTGATGACTCAAAACTCAGGGACCACTGTGCATCACAGAGGTATATGGGACTTTGATAGTCCTCTGAATGCAAAGTTTTAAAGCCACTGATACATAATATCAAACTATAATATCTCAGTCTGGGAACATAGTAACTCACAATCCAGATGACTTAGAGATGCTGTAACATCTTTTAGGCCACCAACCAGCTTCTAAATCATGACACAGGAGATCTATTACTAGTTATGAATGCTCGGCCTTATCTTGGCTGTTATTATAATCTGTTTCTCTTCATCTACTTTTGCCTTGGGGCTTTTTACCTTTCTGTATGTCCTACTTTCTTGCTTCTCATGTCGTCTGGCTGGCAGCTGCCTCGTTTCTGACCCCAGCTGCCTCTTTTTTTTTCTCCCTCATTCTCTTCTATTCTTCCCTCCCCGCCCAAGCCTAGATTTCTCCTCCTACTTATTCTCTCTGCCCGCCAGCCCCGCCTATCCCTCTCCTGTCTAGGTATTGGACGTTCAGCTTTTTATTAGACCAATCAGTTGCCTTAGGCAGGCAAGGTGAAACAGCACCACTTCTTTACATAATTAGACAAGTGCAGCAGAAACAAATGTAACACACCTACACTTCGTTAAAGTAATATTCCGAAACAGAGGGCTCAATTAACAAATAAATTTAAGACATTTATAGAAGTTATGAAAACCTTGGCAGCTGGCCTTTTGAGCTAAAATTTGTATTTTAAACAGAGATAAAAGAAAAAGAAGAAAGGGGTGGGTTGGGAAAGGCAAGAGCATGGTCAAGGTTACCTCTTGGGACTCAATGCAAAGTAAATGACTTTCTTTCAGCTGAACTACATTTATTACTATAGTAATTACATAAAATACCAGGGGCATAGAAATCTAAGGACATAATGCTGAAGTTATAGATACTGACCTCTGATATTAAATGTTCCTCTGAGCTCCTCTTTTCCATTCAAGAAACAAGAATAATTTCCCATTTGTTTGCTATTAAAAATGATGAACCTGGAGATAATTAGAGTTATTAATACAAGCTTACTTCTTACAAACATTTAACAAAAATGAGGTCATTAATCCAAATTTTAAAACAGAGATAATTCTATAAACAGGAAAATTAGAATATTAGCATAACATTCAAATGACTGCAAAGGAAAAATCCTTAATCAGTAGAAAGTTGCGTAGAAACTGGCTATGGCTGGCAGTCTATACCCTTATGTACATACCTGTACTGACTGTACAAAGTGTTTCCCACTTTAGTGGTGTTGAAAACATCAAAATTCTCAAGAAATTCATCATCTTTTTTCCAAGTCACATTCACTGAATTTAAATCCCCAGATGTCGTGAACTGGCATATGAGTTCCAGGTCAGAAGGCCTTTCCAAAGTAATGTTTTTTTCTACTGGGGCGCTGGACTGTTCTGTTCATCACAAAAGAACAAGAAAATGTGTTACGAAAAGTTATATTTGTAGGCAAATTCAATATGTAGCTCTGTATACATGAATACCTTTTATAAATAACACGTGTACAAACCACTTACATTTTCAACAGCAGTCTACTGATAGTTACTTAATGCCCTTCATTCGTCTGAAGAATAGTCCTCTGCAATTCAGATCTGGTTCCCTTCTGGTTCCCTTCCTCACTGTCCTTTATTGGCAAAACCGAAGAAAAGTTCTCTTGTGATATTAATAGAATCACAAAAGCCTAAGGCTGTCATAGCTGTCTCCTTTAATTCAACAGCTGAATGAGACAGAGGAAAGAGCTACTGAGAAAAGTACTCCAAATGCTGGGATACACACTGGCAGGAGCATACCGAAGCGTTGATTTACCTCTGCTTGGTAAGTGTATACCCTTGGCAGTTACTGAGAAATTGGAATCAATGTGCTATCTCTGTCACTCTCCATCATCATAAAAACATGGAGAATTGTTTTGGCTATCCTGGGTCTATTGAATTTCCATATAAACTTCAAGATAATTTTTTTTTTTCCAGTCAGGCAGTGGTGGCACACGCCTTTAATCCCAGCACTTGGGAGACAGAGGCAAAAGAAATCTCTGAGTTCAAGGCCAGTCTGGTCTACAGAGCAAGTTCCAGGACAGCCAGGGTTACATAGAGAAACCCTATCTTGGAAAACCAAAAGAAAAAAAAAAAAGAAAAAAAATTTTTTTCCCCCAGTGTCCGTGACTAACTGCATTGAAATTTTGATGGTGAGTGCACTGAATCTGTAGCCTGCCTTTGCTAGGGTGGCCGTTTTCACAACTCTCATCCTACTAAACATGAACATGGGAAGTCCTTCTGTCTTCTGGCATCTTCAATTTCTTCCCTCAGGGCCTTCAGATTTTCATTGTACAAGTTGTTCACTTCCTTGGTTAGATTTATTCCAAGATATTTTAATTTCCGAGGTTAATATTAGTGACATTGTTTCCCCGACTTTTTTTCTCAGTGTGTTTATCACCAATATATAGAAAAACTACTGATTTTTTGTTTGTTTTAACTCTGTATCCTGCTACTTTGCTGAATGTGTTTATCCAGTGTAGTTTTCTGGTAGTCTTTATGGTCTTTTAAGAATCATATCATCTGCAAATAAAGTACTTGGACTTCTTCCATTCTTGATGTCTGTATCTCCTTCATCTCTTTCACTTAACATCAAGTACTATGTTGAACAGGAGGACAGGGGAGTGTTTCTATGTCCTTGTCTTATTCCCGATTTGGGTAGAAATGCTTTTTCTCTGTTTAGGATCATGTTGGCCCATGTCAGGTATGGGTGACCTCTATTGGAGTGTTGGCCAGTGACAGAGACTATTGTCATTGCTCTTGGTTATGCTCCAGAGCTTGACAATAAAATCCTATTGCTGAGGACATCCTATATTTGAGTCATGAAATCAAAAAACAGCTGGCATTGACCTGGAAGCTTCACCCCTACTGGCTGGCTTTCATAGTGCTGATAGGTGCTATGCATACTACTTACTGGAGGAGGAAAGAAATCAGTCTGGTCCAGCTGTGGAAGCTGCAAGCTAAAATTACAACCAGCCCAGCAGGATCTACCAACCGGGACAACAGTGGCATGAATATGATGGGAGTAACCAGTGGCTGAGTGACAAGATTTAAGGCCTGCTCCTCAAAATGAAACCTATACCTGGCACCATCATCAGGTCCAAGAATCCGTGCCTACACAAGTTAGAGGCTCTAGGCGAGAACCTACTACTCTTACTCCGCCAATGGGGCACAGTGTTAAACTTGCTCCCTATGGATTCTCACTATCCTTGTGCTGGTCTGAAAGATAAATATCCCCCTCATCTGGTCTCCAGCCAGTAGAGACCTTGCTGGGGTAAACATGTCACCAACGGTGGGCTTTGAGAGTATGTCACTATGCCCTGGGAACACAAGACTTTATCCCTGGCCCCTTTCTATACCTCCCAGTTTCCTGACCACAAGGAAGTGAGCAACTTCATTCCAACTTATTTTTCTGCTATGATGTTCTGCCTGACTGTGATCCAGAAACAATGGAGCTAGCCAAACCTCTCAGACCAGAGGCAAAATAACTCCTTCCTCCTGTAAGTTGTTGCTCTTATGGATTTATCACAGAAAGATATTATCTAATATATTAATAAAAATATGAATACACAAATATACATACATGTGCTTTTGAAGTGGTCCAGAATATAACAACAAAAAACTTATTTTAAACAAAAAGTATTTGAGCAGGGCAGTGGTGGCGTACGCCTTTAATCCCAGCACTTGCGAGGCAGAGGCAAGTGGATCTCTGTGAGGTCGAGGCCAGCCTGGGCTACTGAGTGAGTTCCAGGAAAGGTGCAAAGCTACACAGAGAAACCCTGTCTCAAAAAATTAAAAAAAAAAGCATTTGAGTGCCTGAAATCTTTTAAGTAGGCAGTGAGTCTTCCCCAAAACACTCAGAATGGCTTGCTTGTCGAGAAAGTCCCCTCCTCAGGGCAAAGGAACACTCAGTAACAGGGAATTCTTACACCATGCATGAGCCTACCTGGCCGCACAACTATCACATGTCCTATCATTTCTCCTACAGATGATTTATCTTTACAAAAGTCCTTTTTCCTTTCCCAGAAATGACTTTTCTCTCCCTCTTCTTCCGCTATTAAGATGTTAAACACATAAACGTGGAGAAAAATGATGTTAAACAAAATGTCAAGAACAAGAACTTAAATTGAAACAGTTTATTTGCGTAGACTGAAGAAATGCTGACTTTATACAAGAACAGAGTGGAATAGAATCCCAGTTTGCTTTCCGTTGCCGGGATAAAATTTTCTGACCAAAAGCAACTTAGGAAAGAATGGATTCATTTGGCTTATAGATTATATCCATCATCAAAAGAAGTCAAGGCAGGAACCAGGCAGGAACTGAAGCAAAGACCACAGAGGAATGCTGCTGACTGGCTTGCTCCTCTGGGCTTGATCAGCTTGTTTTCCTATAAAACCTAGTACCATCTACCCAGAGCTAACATCACCTGTATCAATGATCAATAAAGAAAATGCCTCCCAGATCCACCCACCGGCCAATCCAAAGGTGGCACCTCCTTCACTGAGGCTCCCTCCTCTCTCCTCTCTCCTCACCCTAGTTTGTATCGAGTTGGCAAAAATCCAACAACACAAATAGCATTTTCAGAGGTTGAGAAGGGTGGGTGCAGGGGAGGGCAAAGGACAGTTAACAGGTATTGTGGTCTGTATGGATAGACATTCTAATGCTCTATACATGAGGATGATAATCGCATGATACAAGAAACTGTGTACTTCATAAAGGCTACCAGATTTTGAATTCTTCCCAAAACATGACGTATGTTTGAGGTGGGGACGGATTTGCCAGTTACCCTAACTCGATTATCCTGTACTGTGAAAAGGTCTCTTAAGAAGCCATATTCATACTGAAGAACATCTAGACAAGTTGACTCTGGCTGATTAGAACACCATCTGTCCATTAGCACAGATGGAGTTTGCAAATCAAAATGCAAAGTTATGTGGGGCCATCTTTATTTCCTTCAGTAACCACTCACTGGCCACCACTGCATTTGACCTAGCAGCCCTGTGACTTCTAGATAAAAATCTTAGATGGACAGCAAATCTTGACCCACTGCTAATCTCTACCAACCTGAAAACTAAGAATAGAGTAACATGAGAATCCTAGCAAAGATGCCCACCCCACTCTGATAATAAGTCTCTCGCTGATGGCTGTATCAATGTTACAGGAAATACATTGGCTCGTGGCTTTCTTTTGTTCTGTGACTTCAGAAGTTTATATATGTTCTTCCACTAGGGAATACTTCATTTCTGGTAACTTGAATCTGTATTCTGGGGCACCATGGTCTCTCATAACTGTCTCAAAAAGAAAGAAAGAAAGAAAGAAAGAAAGAAAGAAAGAAAGAAAGAAAGAGAGAGAGAGAGAGAGAGAGAGAGAGAGAGGGAGGGGGGGGAGGGAGGGAGGGAGGGAGGGAAGAAGGAAGGAAGGAAGGAAGGAAGGAAGGAAGGAAGGAAGGAAGGAAGGAAGGAGAAAGGAAGGAAGGAAGAAAGGAAGAAAGTATTCCTTTAAAGCAGAGTTGTTATTTTAGATTGACAGTATATGCATACTGAAATATCTCACTGTATCTGGTAAGCCGTATGATTATTCTACCAATTAATGTTTCTAACCTCAAAAAAGATTATGCATGATACAAATCCTAACTGTTCCCTTAAGTCACTCTTTTCCAGTGACTACGATAATTATAATTAAACCTATCTCTTTCTTTAGCAATCTGTCTTTGGTTGGTTGATTTCTAGGAACTTAAGAAGGTAAAGATCTTCCTACCCATAAATCTGGCTACATTGATGAGATAAATAGGACTCTTGACCAGTCCTGCTCATCCAGAGTCTGTAGCTAGTAAGTCAAGACCTCAGACCAAGGCAAGGTTTATTTAGTGGTGGGAGAGCTCCACAGTGGCCAGTTCCTGTGTTGCACTTAGATATCCATTTGCCTGTAGGAGAGCTCCAGTGACAATACCAAAACAAACCTGTGTCTTGTTTCTAACTATGCGACTAACTAATCAAATGAAAGGGAGAGAAAACTTTCTCCTTGTGGAGTCTCAGCAAATCAGTAAGAAGAAAATTTACACACCTACTGAACTCCAGCCAAGGAATTCTATATCAGCCAGCCTGGCCACCTCAGACCCAGACCCATGGTGTAAGAGCACCCACCAACTCCTCGACACCTGGGAGGAAGCTGGAGGGGGAGGGGAAAGGTTCTGAAATGGACTGTCTGATTTCCGGTTATTGGAAGTAGAGACAAAAAGAGCTTATTAAACTGTACCCCAGGAGAGCAGTCAACGAAATCTAGAATGTGGAGACATCCTGCAGGATGAAGGATCGGGTTCTTTCCTGCAGGTAAGTTAAAAATGGGAGAAGCAATATGTTTTGGAAACC